TCTTGCAGGTATTGAATTATTTTTTCCTCCATCCTAGTTGTTTTAAAGATATCTTTTCTTACTTTTTCACTAGCTGCAATGGTGTCTTTCAGGTCAGAAAGTCTATTTTCACTTTCACGCAAATGGTTTTGCCAGCTTGTGATTCAGGTTTTCATTTCTTGTATATCACTTTGAACCTGTTTCTTAGATTCTATTTCTTTCCTAAATTGTTTATTCAGGGGTTCCATCATTTTTATATTCTCCTCTACTTTTATCAGTGTATTCTTTAGAAGCACTTAGTACATCTTTGATTATAGTTACCACTACATTTTTAATTCCGAAATTATTTCTGATTTGATTTCTTCTATACCTTTCTGCAGTTGATTCTTTACTGTCAACGCTATTATTTCAGAGATATCTGAAGTGTGATTTCCAGTCTCCTCAGTGCTAGTGTCTTCTGCATTTGTATTGGGTGGACTCAGGGCCTGAGACTGCATTTTGTTCCTTCTCTTCGTCATTTTGTATACCATTGTCTTCTGACCTTTGATGTAGAGCTTAGATAGAGTTATTACCTTAGCACCAGGACCGGATCTATGAAGTTCTGATTCCTTCAGTTGGTTGTTGTTTGGTTCTGGCTGTGTGCTCCACTTCTTTCTGCTGCAGCTGTTAGACTTGAACCCTTTGTGTCTCTCTGGGAAGATGTTCTGCTCCTGAATCAGCTGTGTGGGTCTTGCCTCTTGCCTCTTTGCAGGGAGTTCTGCTGAAGGGTTCCCTGCTGGGCCTGCAGCCTGGGACGAATGAGGATATGCGGGCCCTGGGTAGTCTCACTCACTCACCAGGCCTGCGCTCTGGGTCTGATCAGGATCCCACAGCCTGGGTCGTCTCACTCCTCACCAGCCTGCACTCTGGGTCTGTTCAGGATCCGGAGGGCCCCGGTCGTCTCACTCACTCACAGGGCCTGTGCTCTGGGTCTCTGTTGTTTTATCTATTTTCCTCATTAAAATGAATTTAAAAAACCTTGTATTCCATATGGTGAGATATACCCACAGCAGCCACCCCGATATTCTAGTACCAAATTTGGTTCCAGTTACTCTTCTTTATTATTTTACATTCAGGCTATCTACACTAAGCTAGGATTAGCACACACACCCATAACCTCAGAAGTACTAAGATCCATAATCGCAGCAGTACCCAAACCCATAATCCAAGCTTTATATCATTTTTGCTACCTTCTAGATGTTTATTTAAAGGCTTTTATAGTACATTTAAGAATTTAAAAGAAATATTGTACTGTAACATATTTATAAGGAATAACTATGTGAATTTTATCTTGGAAAAATAGCAATAACAAAATAAAATGAATGTTTATTTAACAGGCAAAATAACCTAGACAACATGAAAAGAAGATAACATTGATGATTATATTAAAAGACTTGTATAGAATATTAATTGAAACACAAGCCTTTTATCATGAATTAATCACAGACTATATAAAAGCACCTCAAAAACTGCATGACGATTTGGTGGATAAATACTCAAAAACCATAACATTGATACATTACTTGACACACACAATTTAAGGTATAAGAAGTTTTACTTGGACATAGTTTTAGGGAATTCAGCCCATATGTAATTGTATCCAAAGAAAGACAAAGTTACTCATGTCACAGATAAAAGATTCTTAGTTTCTAGTGCCCAGGAAGCAGAGCAGGCAAAGAGTGTTAGAGAAGTAGAGGCCAGAAACTCCATTTAGTACCCTACCTCTTGAAATATTTCACACCTGGACACATTCAGATCTGTGCTCCTCCAATCCCATTGACAGTTTTCAAATCAATTAAGTATACTCAATGAAGCTTATCTCTCAGAGTTACATAAGTAAAGCTTAACTAAATTACAGTCTAGTAGGTATTTTGGACAGAGACAGCAATTTTCAGTCAAGATAACAAATTTTAGGTATGGAACAAAAGTAACTACAAAACAAGAAAATTCCTTGAAAATTTTTTCTAGACAGAATCAAAATTTTTTATATTGTTTCAAAAATAGACCAACATGCACAACCTGAGCATAAAGATTCTATTGTTTCCCTAACAATTGAGAGTACATCTTGACAATGATTTTTTAGAGAAATATCCAAAATGATGTAGGATAAAACAAATTTTGAACGTATAACCAAGTAGTTGTACTTTGTATTATATATTCAAGGAAATGGAAAATATATGCTCACAAAAACTTCTACATGGATGCTCATGGCAGAACATCAAAGGAAAAAAGTACATCAACTTTTAATAGATAAACCAAAAATGATACAATGTGAATGATGGATTTTATAACCACAAAATAATGAAGTCCTGATATACGGTGTGGTTTATATGAATCTTGAAAATTTTATTCTAAATGAAAGTAAAATTAAAAATCACAACCATGTTATTCAACAGTGAAGAAAAACTTAACATCTGTAAATGAACCAAAACAAAACAGAAGCAGTGATGTTGAAGACAAGATAAGAAAATTTGTATCAAGAAGCCACAGAATTCATGGATGAGCACATATGTTTTAAAAAGTGGGTAAATGATTTAACCTACATGTGAGGTACTGTTGTCATTGAAGTTTACACAGCTCTAGGTAAGTGAATTAATTGGACAGATGAGGGTATTCCTAGAACATATGTAAAGGTAACTATCAACACAGTTAAAATTATGACAGTCATGTAGATATGGCTACATATAAACTTACCCATAGTGATATAGCAGGTATTAAATAAACTGGAAGATACCATAACTAGTTCAAAGGAGACTCATAAAACATAAATATGAATATGGATCAAGAACACTACTATGAATATACAAGTTTTGGTAAAACTTTGATTCATTGTAAGAGAGAAGGGCAACTGAAGATCTACCAGAGGTTCTGTGTCTACTAGTGACTACAACGTGCAATCCCCGGTTTCACCAAAAAGTAAAAAAAAAAAAAAAAAACCTTTTAAAAATTGAAAAGGTAATTACCTGTAAAAAGTAATTAATTATAAGGTTATTGTTCCTTTAAATAATGTATCCAGTTACTGGGGCAACCAGGTTCACATCATGGACCTGCATAGACAGAGACCTCACCAGAGCTCAGTGGCCACCCATGACATCACAAAGCCCTGAGGGTCACAAAGCCAAATCCTGACCAATAAAAAGCACAGAGCAGCTGTGATCAGTGTTAGTTTCAGCAGCTCATGCCATAGGACAGTACAAGCTGGGGCAGGTTTTGTCAAATGCCATGGCTGGGAAGAAAAGAAGGAGAAAATCTTTGAAGCCCAGGAAAAAGGCAATTTCCCGCTCTTCACAGGCAGAACTTCAGTTTTCGGTGAGTCGAGTGGAGCGATACCTGAGAGAAAGTGGCTATGTGCAGCGACTGTCCTCCCCCACCCCAGTCTTGCTCGCTGGCATCCTAGAGTTTCTGACAGCTAACATCCTGGACCAGGCTGCCAAGGAGACTCAGGACAAGCACAAGAAACGCATCGCCGCCCAGCACCTGGAGAGCATGATAAAGAGCATCCAGCAGCTCCATCCCCTTTTAGGGGATGGCACCAAGTCTCTGCTTGAAGTGATGGTCCTTTCCAAGGACAAGTGAGGAGACCTGAGTGTCCGGTTCTGGTGACATCCTCTCTACATCCTCATCCAGCTGACCAAACCCCATCGATGGGACAGCCCTCGCTATTGTCACCAGCCATGTCAATAAGGTGATTAAACTGATGCCAGTGCTTCTTTCAGTTTCTGTCATTTTCAGTAACAGGCAACTATGGGCCTCCTGGAGGGGATGCCCATTCAAGATTTTGGGGGTGGAAGCATCGATGTGAATCCAGGAGGGGCTGTCAATTCAAGCTTGGATTATTGGAAGCTGTTGTCAGCATGGGGCCCTTGAGTATATGATTGCAGTGATGGAATTTCAGTGGGTATGGTTTGGGCCTTGGCCTTGGTGGTGACCTGGCAAGTGTAGAGGCTGAGAATTTCCCCAAAGTGGCTCTGAAGAAGGGAGGCCCTTGGAGACCTAAAAAGTGACCTTTGACTGACCTGGGGAAAGGTCATGAACTGGGTTCAGGCCAAGTAGTTTGCACTTTCAGCACGATGCTGGCAACAGGGAAGGAGCTGAAGATCATCCTTTAGTCAAGGGAAGCTTTATCCATAGCACTGAAAGTCTGAAGTCAAATGTAATGTCACTGAAGCTGAAATGGGGACCAAGGGGGAGGACAATGGTGGTATGAGTTGAAAGGAACAGGAGGATTTACATTAAAACTGATTGGTGGTTGGGAAATCAGAAAACAAATTACAAAAGAGAAGCCATGCCCATATTGATTGTTGGGAGCTTCTAAACGTGGAATTTGGTTAAATGTGTGAGAGCAAGACTAGGCTTCAGTGACTAAAGCAGTCAAGCTACCTCAGTCCTGAGAAAAGCATCCTGCATGGTCAATGTCAGGTATTAGTCACCAAGCAACCTTATGGCATTCTATACTAGCTTGGCAAAGATATAAATAATGGCCTCTATTTTTGTTTTGATTGTTGTTTCCCAATCAGGCAAAAGGCCACCACCTGACCAAGCTGCTTTCGTCTTAGTAATCTTTTCTTCACTCCTGCATCTATTTCTTCCTGGCATACACAGAGAGACCAAAAGCATCCTATAGTTGATTCCCAAACAGTGCACCCAGTATGAGATAAGTGTGGGCAGCAGTTACCCTTCTGGAGTGCTTAGCATAATGGAGAGAAGTGAACTGATTAAAGCCAGTATTCAGCACTTGAGTGCATTGGTATAAGAACATCCTGCTTAAAGCTTCGGAATGAAGATTAACAAAGGTCAGAAAGGGGCTTATAAGGGCCAGAGAGATAAACAAGCTTATTGAGAGAAATAACCAAAAAGGAAAAAGTTATATAGAAGTTTTAGTTAAAAAAGTGACAGTCTCAAGAACCAAGAATGTTTACAGGTGTATGTACTTCAGTATTTTTTTTGTGTGTGGAAACAAGGATTGAGCTCAGACTCTTGTGCTTGCCAGTAAAGTACTTCTTCTACTGAGTTATCTCCCCAGCACTATAGGTGTATATAGCTGTATGTAAAAAATTACAGTTGTTTTCTTGATTCCTGTGTTTACATTACTTTCTAAGAGCACAACAAACAGCTTAGCATGGTGTACTGCTTTAATTCAAGTCCCAAACAGAACAAGTAAAATAAAGCAAAGTTACAGCAGGGAGTTTAAACCCTCTAACTTTGCACAATGACATAAGAAAGAAAAAACCTTAACTTATATTGCCAGCAATGGGTTCCAAGTGACATGGCAGTGCCATCTGGGGAAGAGGCACAAACTAAGATCAGGGCAGGACCCATGCTATAGTCCTAGAGAGACCCAGCTTGGATTCTCTAGCTGCATCCACATCCATGCACCATGTCCAGCCATGGAGGTTGGAGTGCATAGTTCTATGCACCTGGGATATGTAGCAGGGATATGACTATGACACACTATGGTCTTGGTATTGGATATTTGTGTTTTTGAATCAAAAATTCTGTTGACTCATGATATTTTCTATGTTTCAGTCTGGACACACCCAAAACTTCCAGGGGTCATAGCCAGAGTAGCATCGCAAACACTTAGTGGCTACTCAGACCAGCCACAGCTAGAGAGACATAGCTCCCTTAACTCTTGGACAGAACAATGGGGGAGAGATGGCCTAATACCAGTACTATCATCTCATCCAGCACACCAGCAATCCAGGCAAAGCTGCAAGCAAAGTCACAGCATACATACAAAGAAATCTCAAAGTTTTTCGTATTAATCATGCTGATTATGTAGCGAAATCAAAATTATTATTCAGTGTGTCCAAAACATTTCTTAAGTCACA